TATATATATGTGATATATATATATATATATATATATATATATATGAGAAAGAGATGGAAGTTAACTGTTTTTAATACTAGAGACCAAAACCAAATCAAAGAAACCCATATCATAAAGTGTGTGACTTGGACAAAAGAAAAATATCAGAAGTTCAAAATCAATGCTACCTATAGCTATAAAATGACAGGATCACTATGTGATTCATGATATGCAAGATTAAGCCAACAGCAGCATCTATCTAGGATGCCCTGGGTCTGAATATTGAAGTTCTTCACCTTAGTACACCAGTAAAAGAAATGAATCTAGGCTGACCATACTTTATATAAAGTTTAATTTCCTGTCCATAAGGATAAACATCTTTCATTTTATCCCAGACAAGTATATCCAGTCTCATCATCTTTTCATTGTGATGAACTGTACCCTTTTCCTTCCAATCTACTCATTTCCATTTTGAATTTCTAGTCAGATTGGAAATGTTTTCCCAGTAGAAATTCTCTGCTTACAGTTCTCTAGGATAAATCAATTCATCGATTATACTCATTCTATCTATCTCTATCATCTATCTCGTCTCTATCTCTCAGACAGTTTTGAAACCATTTAACATTTCTAAACAAGTGTATATAAAATATCTGCAAAGGATATGAAGTCAAGGAAATGGAATAAATGTCTTCCAAAATAAAAGGCCATACATCAGGCTACTAATAGCAACATCACAAAACCCTGGGAGCAGGCAAAGATGGAGGAATCATGCCCTCATGCATTTGCAAGTTCAATACTCACACTTCTATTTTAAAGTATTTATAACCTTCAATTATTCAATATCATTGTGTTGGGCAACTTTTTCTAGGGAGAAGTTCAAGGATCCTCCAGGGCTCTGCCTCACCCCTTTCTGTCCAATTCGGCCTTTCTCTTTGCCCTCAATTCTCAAGCTTTGCTCCACAGGGAGGTTGTCCCACACCAGAAAATGCACAAAAACAGGCAGTGCCATGTTGACGGTGTTGATACCACCACAGACATAGTCAAAGAGAGGCCACCACCTTACAGTTGGACTGAAGTTCAACACTGCTGTCCCCTACGAGGGAACTTTGGAGACAGACATACAGAAGGGGAAAGGCCATGAAAGACAGCAACAGAGATTGTGGTTACAGGGACCCATGAGCCCAAGACCATTTTCTGTTAATATTACATCCAGGGCTATAGTAAGCCAGCCAGTCCGACAGCCAGCCAGCCAAGGTCCCTCTCTAAAGCGAAGCAAAACAGCCAAGTCAGCAAAATCCTCACACACTTCATCATCTATGCTGAGCCAATCCAGTCCCTTCTGAAGACAGCTTCCACTACTCTCACTGTAAGGTAACTCCTCCTCGTAAGCTATTTTCCATCAGTTGTGTGGTGATTCCAACAGAACATTATGGAAATGGACCAGGACAGGACTGAAGCACAGCTCAGTGGTAGAGCACATGTTAGCAAGCATGAGTGTGACCGATGCACTGAGAGAAGACATTGTGTGGAAAGGTGGACAAACCCCAGTGAGTTTGCACTAGTCCTTTGCCTGACAGTGTGCTAAGACCTCACCACAGAACCCCATATTTTATTGCTACTTGAACTGAAAGACAAAATGAATAGTGTAATTTTGTGGGGAACTCTTCAAAAACTAGAACATAACTTACATGGGGGAAGATTCCACAAATTTCTTTTAACATGTTTACTGTTATCGAATGCTTTTTTAAACGCTAGCTACTGGCAGGCTCTGAATTTCCTTATATTATAGTGTAATGTCACTTTTTCACAATGAAACTTGTCGGAGAAATTGTTGATTTCAGACAGCAAGCAACTACTTAAAGCACAGACTTTGGTGTCAGATGCCAAAGGTTTCTTTGTTCTGATACCACCGTCTCTGGACTTCTGAGTCTGAGTTAATTACTGAAGTTCTTGAAGGTGCATTTCTCAGCCATTTCCTCTACAATATGAGACAATGTTGCTTCTTTCACAGAATTATTAGAATTAAAGAAAAAGACCAAGAGTAAGAATAAGTGAAATGCCAGTAAAGTCAGTGTTCCAAGTATTTAATCACATTTTAACGACTTTCACAGGCCAATATAGTTTCTTTTGTCATAATTAGTAACTTAAGATAGATTTACTGACTGAGAGGTGGCTCTACAGGCAAAGGTCTGCTGGCAACTAACATGGTGGAAAGAGAGAGCTGACTCTCATAAGCTGACCTCTGACCTCCACATGCCTACTATGGTGTGTACACTTATACACTACACACATAAATAAATGGATACTATAAATAAATTAAATGTTTAAAAATTCCCAAAGACAGGCTTAGTTATTCTTAGGTGGTAAAACCTACATTGCTTAGTCTATATGATGAGAAGAAAAATCATTAGAAACAAAGTGTTATTTATGTATCACTCATTACATATATACACAATATAAAATTCTACTAACTTCTACAGTATCATTTCTGTCCTACACCACAGACTGTCTTTACTTGGTGAAAGGAAGATGACTTGTTTTGCCCAGTTCACAGTGATATTTACATAAAAGCAATCACACTTAATGGTGAAAAAAAATGGATTAAAAATTAATGTTCCATACTGAACATAAAGACTATTATGTGTGATTTTGGTCATTTGTATTTGTTACAATATTTGAAGTTGAAAATAAGTAACCCGTAGCTTCCTTTTCCACATTGTATAAAAAAACTGGAATCTCTCAGGAAAAAATATGCAATTGCTATCAAGGATATTGTTGCTAGGAAACCAGAACACAAATAGAAGATTTGTGGAAACTCTCCCTTTGGCCCCAAATCAAGGAGAATTCTAAATTGTGCAATATATGATCTTGGAAGTTCATGATTGTTTGCAGGTTATTTTTTTCCATTTTATAATGGTTTGAATGAGCAGCAGTGGAAATAGAGCTCAGATGTTTTCAAACAGTAGCGATGTGGGAATGGGGATAGAAGGTGCTAAAGGCCCTGGGTACAGACTCAGAGCCAACATTAGTTGAAGGTCAACAGTGTGTGTGTGTGTGTGTGTGTGTGTGTGTGTGTGTGTGTGTTTACCACTGTTGTCAAGGAGGCAAAAAAGTCATGGTTTAGATTTTCCACTCATTGTGAAAGATCTGCACGTTTGCCATTACTTCTGATCACACTACTCACAATGAAAACTCTTGAGCCTAAGGCCAAACAAGCTGCAGGACTTTTTTTGAGTGAATTATTCCAAAAGCAGTGTTATTGGGAAACAGATTTGATTGTTGTCTGTTTTTGAGATGAGATTGCTCTAATATTGTCGGGACTAATCTCAAATCATGAGCTCAAGTGAGTTCTTGCTCAGCCTCCTAAATATCTGGAAATACACACAGGCACCACTGTCTGTCTTGATAAACAGATTTTTAAAATTAGCAACATTCATTTGTTTTGAATAAAGATACAACTGAGAATTCGCCAAAATAAAAAATCAGCTATGGCATCATAATCAAATCTCCGACCTTTGTTCTATACTAATGTAGTATTCATTTCTAATCTTCACCTCTAAAAATATTTTAGAGTACCACAAAAACAGAAGTCTAAAATATCAAAGTGGGCAAAATACAAACACAGGTTTGCATTATGTGTATAGTATGTATAAATCTGAGGGGAAATTTTAGTGAGCCGATAGACAACTACCTTTGGATATGAACACAACTAGTGGCTCTTCCTTTGCTTTTTCTCAAACCCCTGTCGAAACCAAACAGAATTTATGTGACAGCACACAATAACCATAAAATAATGACAGGATTCCATCTCTTTTCTCATCTTTCCAATCATTTTTGCTTGAAGATTTGGTACTCGAGCGAGGTGTACCTTGATCATAACTGAGGCTCCTTTACAGATAGAAAAGCACGTGTATTCTCACTTCTCTCTGTGATGTTTTATTTGTCACAGCTTAGCAAGTAATGACACCGTGAAAGTAATTCCACCACCAACTGAAAGGAAGGGCCCTCCCAGAGCGGGTGTGATGCACAGGCCAGTTTTGTTGATTACGGTCTTTGCTGATCACAATTCATGATACCACTTTGATTGCAAACACCTAACCATGAATAAACAAGACTCAAGACAGATGCAAAAGAGTAATCATGAAATAATTTAACAGGTCCCCAAACAATGTTCAAACATGAAAATGTAGATCTGATGTCCAGGCTATAGCTTTGAAGGACATATCAGGGAAAGAGAAAGCAGCAGGTGGTTCTGCCCAGCAATTATTACAGTGCTGATGGTGTCACCTCCTGCTTCTTTGCTTCTTTGCTAAGTAAGGACTCAGCAGATCAGTAACTCTCCTTGACCCTTAGCCTGTTTACTTTGCAAATCTGTATCCTTCTCTTTCAGTAGCCATGGTCCACACAAGTTCCCCTCAAGTCCCCTTTG